TATCTATCTATCTATCTATCTATCTATCTATCTATCTATCTATCTATCCATACATACAGATGGGGTCTCGCTATGTTGCCCAGGCTGGTCTTGAACTCCTAGCTCAAGCAATTATTCCTCTCTCAGTCCCCCAAAGTGCTAGGATTACAGGCATGAGCTACTAGCCTCAGCCAAAAAACTGATCTTTAAGGTAGCATGAAATTTAAAAAGGTAAGGGAAATTTACAATTCAATCCTCACCTACAATATACATATTAATGGATGTAGGTCAAGATTACCATATTGGAAATTATGTAGACTCTGTCATTAAGTCAAAGACATTTGAGGGTTTCATATGTGCCAGGCTCTGTGTGACAGGTACTAGGTAATTGCAAGCCTTGGTCAATGGTGTCAGGAAGCTTAATAGTTCATACGACATCTTAATGACAGTTCTGCCATTAACTAACCATGTGAGTCCTTCGGTTTGTTTCATTGGGTCAAAGGGGGAAAAAAATAAAGAAATGATGGCACATGAATTGATGCTCTCAGAGAGTACTACCTGCTTCCATGAACTGTTTGGAAATAAGAAATGCAGCCATTTGTCAATTAGAAGATGAGCTGTGGATGTTGGGAGCCAGCCTCAGAGGCCTTCATGTTGACAGAGTCTGGAAGGCCGAAGACCCCAGGTTGCAGGTCAGCTCTGGGCAGCTATCGGCCCTGCTTCTTCTACTCATCTGGTTATAATCGCCATTGAAATCCGGAGGGTTGGGAGATGCAAAATATAACAGTTCATTAAAAAGAATCTATTAGTAGGAACAAACAATTAGTGAAATGAAAATTTTTCTGCTGAGATATGACCCTCCACTTGAGTTTCTCCGTCCTCACCCTTTTGGTGCTTAAACCCACAACAATAATTAAAAACTGCAGGTGGCACTCTCCTACCCCTGAGAGCCTTGAATTAAATGTACATCAGGGCTCTCATTATCCCTGTCAGGGAACTATAGACGCAAATTATAAACGTCATGTTTGGCATCATAATAGGCTTATTAGTTTTAGTTCTTTAAGTTGATTGCTAATTGGAGAGCTTTGGGGATGTGGTTTTCATTCCGCTAGTTGTGAGGTGTTGGTGGATGATTAATGTAGAAAGGTTGAGGTAGTGGGAGGGGCTTTGTAATTGTGTTTGGAGAAAATGAAATGTTGGGAAAGCATAAGTCGGGCATTGAGTTGTTAAAGGTTTGGATGGTTAGGGCTAATAGTTTGAGAAAACACATTGTGAAAAATTACATGCTTTAAAGTTTCTATTAGTGGATACATTGTCACAAATTTGAGGGAAGACAGACAGTATTTCATCGCCGCCGCTGTTAGAACAATAATCAAAACAAGATGTTAAAAAAATACTGTCTCGAACCCGTGGGCACAGGCAACCCACCTGGGCAACTTGGTGAGACCTCATCTCTACAATAAATCAAAAATTAGCAGGACATGGTAGCGCACGCCTGTAGTTCCAGCTACTTGGAAGGCTGAGGTGGAAGGATCCCTGGAACCCAGCAGGTTGAGGCTGCAGTGGCCGGGAGTGGCCACTGCACTCCAGGCTGGGCGACAGAGTGAGACTCCAACTCAAAAAAAAAAATTACTGTTTGTTCCTATGTGGTTTATTAACCAAGAAATGATTAATCTGAGACTAAAAAGAAAAATATGCCTGGGTTTGAAGGCCAAACTCTATGTAACTAAAAGCATAAAAAGAACTTGAAAAGAAAAATAAATTGGCATCTGTCCTGCACAACAACAGAGTCAGTGTCCAAGTTTTCTCCTATGCTGACGCAGTTCCTCCTTCAGGAAACCCTCACCTGCTGGAGCTGGACTCCTGCAGAAGATGAGCTGTAGCTGGGAGTGGTGGCTCAAGCCTGTATTCCCAGCACTCTTTGGGAGGTTGAAGTGAGAGGATTGCTTGAGCCCATGGATTTGAAAACAGCCTGGGCAGCTTAGCGAGACCTCATCTCTACAATTAAAAAAAAATTAGCTGGGTATGGTAGCATTCCTGTAGTTTAGGTTACATATATTATGTATGCAGAGAGAGAAACAGAGGCCACACTGGAACAAACATTTCATGAAATCATTCAAGAAAACTTTCTCATCTCATCAAGGATGAAAAAATTCAAACACAAGAGATTCAGAGAACCCCTGCAAGACAACAAGTGAGAAGACCAACTCCCAGACACATAATAATTTGCCTAAACAAAGTCGCTGTAAAAGAAAAAATTCTAAAGGTAGCAAGAGAAAAAGGTCAGACTACCTACCAGGGAAGACCAATTAGAATAGCAGCAGATTTATCCACAGAATCCCTTCAGGCTAGAAGAGCCTGGAGCCCTATCTTCAAAGTTCTAAAAGATAAACAATTTCAACCAAGAATAACCTGTCTAGCCAAACTAAGCTTCATTAGTGAGGGAGGATTGAAATCTTTTCCAGATATCCAATC